CGCTGCCCTGTAGAGACCCCTGGCGGTCCCTGGGGAGCGCCTGCCCGCCCCGCCCCCGCCCCCCGCAGGCTCCTGCACCCTCAGGTCCGCTCACCTGGATGAGGATCTTGCCCAGGCAGACGAAGGGCGTGCTGACCTCGGCCATCAGCAAGCAGCCTAGAAAGTAGTCGCCTTTGCCCTGACGCCACACCTGAGCGGAGAGGGAGGAAGCGGGCCTCGCCCTGGGCGCGTGGGCAGCACCTGCTCTCCTGCTCTCCCTCCACCACCTTCCGGAGCAGTGGTTCTCAACCTTCCTAATGCCGCGACCCTCTAATACAGTTCCTCATGTTGTGGTGACCCCCCATTTCATCGTTACAAATGGAACATAATTAAAGCATAGTGATTAATCACAAAAACAATATGTGATTATATATGTGTTTTCCGATGGTCTTAGGCGACCCCTGTGAAAGGGTCGTTCGACCCCCAGGTTGAGAACCGCTGTTCCAGAGGCTTCATTCTGAGCCTGCACCTGCCCTCACTGTACCCAGCAGTCTTGGCGGCAGGATGGTGTGCGGTGTGTTCCGCACGAGGAAACTGAGGCTCAGACACAGGCAGCAGCAGCAGCGCCAAGCCCCTCCTGCGGCCTGGGGCTGGGCCGGTGCTCCCTACACCTCCTTGGGGCCTCCCCCGGGGCCCCCAGGCTCCCCACAGCGCGGCAGGCCGGGACTCACCACCGACAGCGGGAAGCACACCAGCACCATGACGGCGTGGTGCAGCACCATGAGGAACTCCTTGTGCAGGTAGCCGCGCGCCACGGCCCAGGTGCTGCCGGGGGCCCGGGCCTCGCCTTCGTCCCCTCCGTGCCCCTTGACCTGGTGCTTGTGCCAGTGGCAGAGAAACATGGCGTAGATGTCGTAGATGAAGTAGGGCACTGCGAACTGTGTGTAGGCGGAGGAAAGCCAGTGTCTGTTGGGCAGAGAGAGGAGGAGGTGTCAGGAGGAAAGGGCACAGACGCCGCTGCGGGCGGGCGCCAGGGTTGGTGCTGGACGCAGCCTGGGCCCCAGACCTCAATGCCCCTCACACCCCTGAGGCGGGAGTGGACACTCAAGCTGCAGGATGGAACCCAGGTCAGAGGGCGGAACACAGCAGTGGTTAGATTCAAGCCCAGACTGACTTCAAAACCCATCGATTTTCCCATATTCATTCATTCATTCATTCATTCGTTCATCTCTCTCTGCAATATGATGGGAGAAAAAGGGAAAGAGATAAAGAGCAGAGGTAGAGCCGAAACCGGTTTGGCTCAATGGATAGTGTCGGCCTGCAGACTGAAGGGTCCCGGGTTCGGTTCCAGTCAAGGGCATGTAGCTGGGTTGCGGGCACATCCCCAGTGGGAGATGTGCAGGAGGCAGCTGATCGATGTTTCTCTCTCATCAATGTTTCTGACTCTCTATCTCTCTCCCTTCCTCTCTGTAAAAAATCAATAAAATATATTTTAAAAAAAGAAAGAACAGAGGTAGAGAGAAAACAAACTCAGCAGATATGAAAGGCATCGGCGCTGAGGGCACACCAGGTGAGTGGTGGGAGAGACCGTATTGGCGAACGCCGACCAGTGATTCCACGCAGGCACCGTGCTAATACGCTCAGCCTTTCACATGCACGTATTTCCTCCCTGACAAAAACCCCCTGAAAGGGCTGTATGGTTACCCCTCCGTTTCACAAATGGAAACTGGGGGCGAGGTGACCTGGCTCCGTAGGCCTCACTCTCAGCCGCTGCTGCCTGGGAGGCTGGAAACAAGCCTGGGAGGAGGCCCCTGGCGCTGTCCGTGCCACTTGCTGCTCCCGAGTGTGGCCTGACGTCTCGTCCTCCCAGGTACAGCCAAGCATTACGGAGGAAACGCTGAGCCAGAGGAGCCGAGAGCAGAGAGAGTTCTATGTACTTGGAGAGTAAACAAAAATGAAAAGTGCCTAATATGCAACTCTGCGTTCTTCTGCTGGAGCCAGTCCATCCAGCCCTGCCTCGGAAGTCCTCCGGTGCCGCGGCAGGTCCGAGGCGGGGTGGGAGGTCAGGGGGAGCTGGCCCAGCTAAGTGGAGGGACAAAGCAACATCAGCCAAGAAAAGACACAGAAAGGGGCTGAGGCCAGATGTGGGCGCTGCTGCAGGGCAAGGGAGTGAGGCCTGGAAGTGGACTGGGGGTCGCTGGGGGTGGGCTCGTGCTGGGAGCAGAATGTAAGCCCTGGGGGAGCGAGATCTGGGGGAGGCCGGCCCGGAAGGGAGCAGGCGGCCCGTGCCAGCGGGGTCATTCAGGGAACGAGCAGCTGAGACCCAGGCGGGAGCGGGACCAGGAGGGAGAGAGAAGGAGCAGCTTAGCGACGAGGGCAGAATGTGGAGAGGCGTCCGGCAGCCTGAGAGCCATTAGAGCGGGAATGGCCAGGAGAACCGGCTGCAGGGACATGGTAGGCGGTGGGACCACGGGCGTTTAGGGGAACTAAGACCGCCCACCAGTCCCTGGGCAGCAATATGAAGGGTGACACCCGGACCCACCCTCTCAGCAATGAGGTGCTAGAACCCCAGAACAACTATGGCCTCTAGATTAGCTCTGATCCTCCTCTTCTACCTGAGGATTAAAAGGGGAGGGAGGAGAGCCGAGCTAGGCAGGGAGGAGAGGTAAGAGGAAGGTGACCTCTGTTTGGAGGGGCGGGGAGGAAATGTGTGGGGATCCAGGCTCCTTTTGGACTTAGGGATGGAGAAGAGGGGGCGAGGGCAAGAAGAAGCGCAGTCACATGGGTGGAGTCTGAAGAAAGAGTTCAGTATCCAGTATCTGTGAGCCAGGACTGCTCTAGGCATTTAACACACAACTCAACTCCTCCCAGCTGCCTTTCCACGCTGGGATGTACCCCAATCCACAGATGAGGGGACTCATCTGCAGGGAAAGATGGGGCACCTCCAGTTCAGGCTCATCCAGACAATGTCCCTGGGGCTCGACAGCCACCATAGAGAGGAGGCGGGGCCCGAAGTGAAGCGTGGGGGCCTGGTTCAGCACCTTACAAGGTATTCTTGGGCAGACCGTGGGTCACCCTAGAGCTGGCCTGTCAGCACCAAGGACAGGGGCCCTCTGTTTCCCAACTGTGGCCCCACCTCTCAGGGCCTGGGTTTTGGCAAGCACCAGGGCCCTGCAGCAGCTACCGGTGCCAAATTTTGACCCTCTGCACACACACACACACACACACACACACACACACACACACACAGCACTAGTGGCCTTGTTTTTGTCATCTCTCTTCTCTCCCCTGTGCATAAAGCTGGGGCTGGATCCCTGGAATCTGGGAGGAGGTGAGGGGTGAGCCCAGCATGAAGAAGAAGGCACCCCAGTTAGCCGCTGGTTGGAAATAGGGTCTGAAGGGTGTAGGGTGGGAGGAGGTAGGGGAGGACCTATGATAAAGAGGCTGGGAGGCCCAGGAGCTGCTTCTAGAATCCTGTTTGATCCCTATTCCTCCTCCGGCCGGTTCTGACCTTTAAGAACAGGACGTGGATAAATTTATCCCTGGGTGTTGAGTTGCAGCTACTGCAGTTAACTTGCTCAGGCCCAAGGGAAGGGCTTGGGGACCACTGCAGGAGTCCCCTAGAAGACCTCAGGGGCCGCACACACACACAAGGTGCTGGAACCTGGGCACAGGGGGGCTCATGGCACTTACTGGTCATCGATGATGTGCTTGCAGGAGGTGGAGACGATGTAGCCAGCTGTGGAGGCCATGACGGCTTGGACAGAGGACACCAGCCTAGGGAGGGAGCGGGAGCAGTGGTAGAGGAAGGAGACACACCCCTTGGCTTCTCCTCTTTACTGTCCAGTTACGATGCTTTGGACTTGGTTACTTCTCAGGTCCCTCCCTGCCCGTCTTTTCCCAAAGCTGCCTGTCCCAGGGCTCGGCGCCACCACCTCAGCTCCTGCGTTTGCCCAGCTGCCACTCCTCAGTTCCTGCCGTTCCCGGCTGCCGGCTCCCTTCCCTGCACTGTGAACACTGAGTTGTCTTCCTCCCAGGACACCAGGGAGGTCATTCTGGG